ATGGCGGACGGGCAACATCCGTCTGATCACAGACAAAACATAACTAAGATGGCCCTGTGTCCATCTTTCACAATACGTTTACTTATTATAGCGATTATTTATTCAGTGTGTTTGGATAAAGTATGTGTTTCTTCTTTGAAATCGTGTCAGGAATGTGATCAGGGAAGGTGTATTAATGAAACCTGCACCTGCCTACCTGGATGGAGAGGCATAAACTGCGATGAATGTTACGGAAGAATTAGGTACGTTGGGCGGTAACTCACTGAAGTGAAGTCATTAACATTAGTCAAAGTATAAGTAACTCAAAGTTTAGAGGTAACAATACAAAAGAGTTCTCATTCTGCTTCTGATTCAACGTGATCACCAGCTGTAAAATCTGGCAAAAAGTTTTTGTTGTTTGTCTACGTCTGGAACAGGAGTGTTCAGTGCACATCCGTTTAACAGACCGCACTTAAACTTTATTAATTGTATGCAGACTGTTAGTTCCTTGCCTCTCAGGCAGATGTACTCCGACTTCGAAGGAAGCCCCCAATTAGTCGACTCTTACGACATGCTTGTCTGGGAAGCATGGGTCTGTTTTTGTTTTTCCCCACAATAGGGCTCCTTTACACACACAGGGAGAGGTAATGTAATCATTTTAATTATAAGAAGTAATATTATATCTTAAGTTATGTATAAATGAAGTAAAAATTAAGCATGCTTAGGTTTTTTTTTAAAAATCATAACAAATGTAAGTTATTTTTTTACCTGAACATTTGATTTATTTATGTCATTTTAATACTAAGAAACTTAAAAGTAATGTTATGTAACTTAACAAGCGCATAGGTTTTTGATTGATTATTTAAAATGTATGACAAAAACAACTGAAATGAATCTTAAATACTAAATCTATTTATACACGAAACTCAGCTGCCTATAGGAAATGAAAGACAGCTAGTGAATAAATCTGGAAAAGCAAATAGTTTTAGCTACTTTAGCAGACCTGCTACACAATTAAGTTCGTATCTATAGTTTAATTAGTAATATTCTCATTCGTTCTTAAGGAAAAAGTTGATGATGGTTTACAGTGAAGATGTAGGCTACTGTTTTCTTTTTTTTCTGACAGTAAACTTCGCTGGAAAGTTCTGGCTGTTCATCCACTTCTGAAGTGAACGAACAACCAGAACTTTCTGCTGGAGTTTACAGCCGATGACCACAAAGTCACAAAGATAACAAAGAAGAAGATGTAGGTGTAGCAGCTCAGGTGCTTTACTAATATCCTACCACATATGACGTCACAGGACAGTCCAACATTTCAGAGGGTGGTAAGACTGGGTTTCCTGGCTTTCTGATGCTTTTAACAACCCCAAAGCATCTAGAGCTGGCCCCAACCCACTTACGTCCCACGAGAGAGTGCAGCCTAGGTTCTACGACTGCATGCAGCCTAGGTCCCATGAATGCATGCAGCCTATCTACCACTCCCTGAAATATTAGTCTGTCCCGTGATGTGTGGATTTTCCCTGTTTGGGGTAGGATATTAATAAAGCACAGCAGCTCACAAATACACACACACACACCCTTTCTATAGCAGCATTTGCCAGAAGGCCACTTTTTCCAGTTTCATAGTCGTAACATCTTTCTCTCTCTCTCTCTCTCTCTCTCTCTCTCTCTCTCTCTCTCTCTCTCTCTCTCTCTCTCTCTCTCTCTCTCTCTCTTTCTCTCTCTCTCTCACCCACATCTACACAAACACACACCTAATCAGTTTCTGTCGTGGCATTACATCCTGACTATTTGTTCAATATCACTGATATTTTGCCTTTATAATCTCTGTCCAGCTTGCCACCAGGAAAGGAAGGGGTCATACACGATGGTTCAGCAAATTATTCCAAGGATATCACATGCAGCTGGCTGCTAGCAGCCGAGCAGGAGAACATGAGGGTGCGGTTATTGATCAATGATTTCGCCACAGAATGTATATGGGATCATTTGTATGTACACGATGGGGATTCGGCATTTGCACCTTTAGTTTCTGTCATCAGGTATGTTATCCACTGTAATGTTTAGTTTGTTGTGTTGAGTTAAGAATTAACATTACAGCACTTAGGATATTCCCATAATCACTCCTTCCCCATCTTCAGCAGCTAGCAAATTTTCAGCTTCTGGGAAATCAGTAAGAAGTTTGAATGTGGATACCATAAGCAGCTTGAACTAGTACATAGTTCTGTCTGAAGCTAATTGCAAAAGCAGTTGAGTCAACTTTTTAGGTCGAAAGTAATGCATCATACATTCATAGTTTCCTACTTAGAAGCCCATTCAACACAAGATGCAGTTATTTTATGTCTCTTTACTACCCCTTGGGGCTTTGATGATAAACCCTCTGGGACTCAAAGAGTTCAGAACTGACATCACAGCGCTCAGTACTTTCCCAAAAACACTCTGTCTGTACCCTTAGCAGTCTTCAGTCATTACAGAGTTTCAGTGGTACCAATACAAATTTAACGTGTATGTATATATGTATGCATCTTGAACTAGTACATAGTTCTGTCTAAAGCAGATTGCTGAAGCAGTGATTGCTGGATGTTTAGCTTATCTAGTTAGTGTAAAGTTTTTTTCTTTCTCTCACTATTTGCCTGTCACATATTTTCTTTTTCTGACGCTTTCACTATTTGTATCCTACTTTGTCTGTCTCTCTTTATATATATATATATATATATATATATATATATATATATATATATATATATATATATATATATATATATATATATATATATATATATATATATATATATATATATATATATATAAAATCAATGTTTTTGTGTTTGTTTATGAGCTATAGATTCAGAAACTACTGAACCGATTTAGCTGAAATTTTCAGGATATGTTTGTTTTGATACCGGATGTTCACCCATCATGGTTTGAAATTTAACCTGTCATTGTTAGAGATAGTGTGCGACAATTTTTTGGAAAATCTTCGAAACTAATATTTACATTTTTAGTGACAGTTAATTATAGCCACATTAGTAAATGCGCATGCGCCGTAGTCAGAACGCAAGACTTCCACCATTCTCCGGCAATATACGTACAGCCAACGCCTTCTCTAATAAATAGAGTAGGCCGTGGTACAGCAAACAAGACTGTCTCTATATCAGTGCAGGCAATGATTGCCACAATAACCATATTAAACACGATTTCTATTTTCCGTTTTTTTTCCAAACAACCTTCAATGAGTTGGAAAGTAGCCGATGGATTGGAAGGGAAAAGGGGGGGGGGGCATCAAATGCCTATCTCGACCTCGGTGTAGACATTGACTGCGACATTAACCGTGTTAGACACGTGCGATTTCTATTGTTGTGCCGTTTCAATAATATATCTGGAATATTTGTCTATGAGAAAACAATTGCCTGCTGTTTTGAGTTGTATTATAATCGAGACACTGTAGTAGGGACACACATCTCAAATAGTTTTGTTCTCTTTTCGTTTCTCCGATTAAATGGTTGCTTGGTCGAATGGTTAGAACACTGGGCTCCTATCCGGGAGACCAGGGTTCGAATCCGCAGTAGTGTTTTTTTTTTTTTTTTTTTTTTTTTTTTTTTTTACCCGGGGCTAAAATAAAATCCTCACCTGCACTGTCGTGGCAACAGCACTAGCCATGTGGCCCTTAATATAAAAAAAAAATTTTCAAAAAAGGACAGGTATGTGGGTAAATCAGTTGATAATTAAATTTGACCATTTCGCATACTTTTGATTTCATTTTTAAAATTTACAATTGCATGGTTACGCTGAAATTTCATAGCTTTCCATTTATTTTCATTTAGATTTAATTATTTCATCTGCGTTGGAATTTTAAGCTGTGCTGTTTACCATAGCGTTCATTTCATAATTATGGTGTATTTTTCCTGTTTTCATTTGCTTTTCAATTGTTTTTTTTTTCCCCAACTACTTCAATGAGGGAAAGAGTAGTCGGTGAATTTGGCGGGGGGGGGGGGGGGGGGGGGGGGGGGGGAGTGCAAACTGTTTACTGAGAGAGCTTTAAGTCACAGTAACTGCTTTACCCATTCAAAGTAGCAGCAGCAGTAGTAGTTGTGGTTTGGCTGTTACACCGTAGTGCTCTCATGTGAAGACCGCCGGTAAGGTTATGGCGTTCTTCTGTCGGGAAGCGAAATTATACATCCTAACCTGACCAGTCCGTGGCGTCAGCACTAGCTATGCGGCACAAAATCTTCTGGCTCACAACTCCCTATCTACTCCGATGGTAAAACAGATAGCAGTAACATTATTTTAGCGACTGTGGTGGTGGTCGTGGTAGTAGTTGTACTGGTACTTGAAGGATGATGTGGTAAATATTACACTAAACCCATTCACTACCTATTACAATTCCTGCTCCCCATTTTAGTTCGGATGGACAGGGATGTCAATGTCAGTTACAACAACAACAAAATATCGCCAGGTGATGATTTTCAAATCCTTTGAAGAGGGAGAGAGCAGTAGTCCGTGGAAGAGGGAAGGGGAGGTGTGAAATGACCTAAATTTAAGAGAACTTTAAGAGCTTTACACATGATTTTCAAGTTCTCATTACTTAATTTGTTTATATTTTACTAACGCTACCTCCGCTATTCAATTTTTTTACGACTGACTTTGTTATTTACAAGTACAGCTGTAGCTTTACTTCCGTCTCCTATAAAAATACAAACAGCTTTAGCATGTGATAACTAAATAACCATTTGTGTTACTGTGCTAATAACACCATTTATACGACCACTAATATAAAGACACAGTTATATGGTGCGTTTTCTAAAGTTGGAAAACCAGACTATCTCTATATCTGTGCAGAGAATGATTGCGACATTAACTATATTAGACACGAGCGATTTCCATTGTCTTTCTTTTCCAAAAACCTTTGATGAGGGAGAGAGTAGTGGGTGGATTTAGTTGTGGTTGGAGGGGGGGGGATCAAAGACTATTTCTATATCTGAGCAGACAATGATTATATTAGACACGTGCGATTTCTATTTTCTTTCATTTCCATTTAGCCAAACTATGCCACAGCAATGCGTTGCCGGGTTCAGCTAGTATATATATATATACTGTTTATCCAGTCAGTTTACAAGAAACACTTTTTGTCTTTTCTTTCTCTCTTTCTTATGCCTCAAGAATTTTCTTTTTTTCTGTCTGTCACTCATTCACTCTCTCTCTCTCTCTGTATCTCTCTGCTCTCTGTATGGTAGGATATGTGTGTTTGCAGACAGGCATGCATATTTATATGCACAAACACCACACAGAAACTCACACATGGATATAATACACATACAGACTCAGTTCTTTAAAACAACCTCCACACACACACAAATAATGCCAAAATCATAGATTCCCAAAGGTCTTGTTGTTTGTTGTATACATGCACACCGACACAAATATATATACACACAGAGAAACTTGCACTGTCTTCACCACACATTCTTCAGTACCTAAAAACAATTTTCTATGTTTGTGTGTGTGTGTGAGAGAGACAGACAGAGGAAGAGAGTAAATATTTTTTCTGAGCCTAATAAAATGTATTATGCAGTTATTAATTGAGTTTCTGTTATGTGTAATAGGACATTTACAGTTCTTAAAGTGGTCAAAATATTTATATGTAAATGTTAAACTTCTTAACATTGTTAGTGCACTTTTGTGAGAATTCATATTCTCCAGTGTCTTGCTGTGACTGAAGACAATCTGTTGTGAAAAATATGAAAACCCAGAAAAAAAAAAGAATGCTATCATTGTTTTAAAAAAAAATATAGATTTAAAAAACACAAATTATTTTTATTGATTTTGTTTTTATTTTTGCAGTGGCATCATGTGGGATTTGAAAGATAAACCAGAAATCAAGTTTAAGTTAAGTGGGAAGTATGCCTTCATTCACTTTTACAGCGATGCTGCGCTCACACTACCAGGATTTAACATTTCATATTTGTAAGTAGCTCATCTGTATTGTTTTGCTTGATTTCTTGACCTTTGACATTGAGCATAGAAACAATATCATCATCTTGTGGCACAAGGCTTTTCAGCTAAATTTACTCAGGTGTCAGAGTATTGAAAAAAGGGGGATAGTCACAGACCAGAAGCCTGCTCCAGTGTAGAAAGATTGATAACATAAATTTGGCAATGACCCCGGGCCACTAGCTAGGCCTCTCCAAGTCAGATTTGGCCTGTTGTCTGCCAGTTAAGTAGCCCTGGTGTATGAAATCTTTTTCCCTCTCTGAACGTCAGTGTCGTGAAATTGGGGCATGTAAGCTGAAATGCTACATACAGATTCTCGGAATACCATGGGCAAAGAATGAAAGAAATACTGACATCCTAAAAGATCTGAACATCAAGGAAGACTGGCTAGTAAATAGCATCTTGTCTTGGAAATTGAAATATTTTAACAGCGTTAGATTGAGAAAAACAATAATAGCAAAAGGCATGGTACCAGGAAAGGGGCAGGAGCTGTCCAGCACAAAGATTGGCACAGGATATAAGTGAGGCCTTGGGTAGGAAAGTGTGGGAGAGCTGGCGAGAGACCAAGTTTCTTTCTTACTGTAATGAGAGCGACGTTCAGCAAAGGCCATGCTTCAAGGTAATGATCAATGCATTTTATGCCTTGAAATTCAGTTAATTTCTTGCTTAAGCTTGCCATAGAGAACAATTATTTGCTAGTGTTAGCTCACTTTTGTCTTACAGTTAATGCAGTCCTCATAAACTGTGGTTTCCCTTGGTGGGCAATTTAGAAACCAACTGTTTTTATGGCTTTCAGACAGTGGTACACCAGGAATTCTAACTAGGTGAACAAATGCCCGATTAAGTCGATGTGTTGGCTAAATGTTGCAAATATTGCAGCTAGGATGTAAACAGGCACAACACAATTATGCCGCTCGGACGAATGATGAAAAAGAAGAAAAGGAAGCAGAGGAAGACTGTGGTACGAGAGTTGTACCATCGAATAGATTGGGGTCTCACTTTGCAGTATTCCCATAGTTTACAGTGGATACATTGCAGCCAATCTCCATTATGAAACAGCACCATTTTTATTTTTGGTCTCACAATTTCATGCTTCAGACTTCTTAGGGACTTGAAATTTGTCTTTGCATTCCATCATAATTTCTTGTTTGATAGAATATTTCTTTTACTCTTCTTATACTTTTACAAAATGTAATATAAGTTGTGTGAGGCAAACAGTAATTAAATTTCTTTGCTTTGTTTACCACAGTATTGATAGCTGCAGCTTGGAGTGCTCAAACGGAATTTGCAACAACAGTGTGTGTGAATGCAAGCCTGGGTGGAAAGGAGTAAACTGTGATAGCCTGATATCTGAGTGTCCTTTTAATTGCTCCAATCATGGACAATGCATGGCCACTGGCGGATGCAATTGCTCTGACAATTACACAGGTCTGTTTTCCCCCCTTATTTTCTCTGTAAATGCCCTTCCCCCACTCCTTTTCCTTTTCCTGTTCTGCACTGCTCTAAAAGCAGTAAATTAAGTTGTTTTAGCATAGGCCAGGGCTTTCACCAGCTCTCCTATCATGTACACTTTCGTATCCAAGCAGTCACTTATATCATGTTCCCATCTTCATATTGGTCTTCTTCTGCTCCTCCTTCTGCTGTTATTTTTTTTTTAAATAATCTGCTGTGGTGCTTGATATGGCCAAAATATTTCAGCTTCTGGAACAAGATTCCTTGATGTTCAGATCATTTAGAATGTCAGTATTTTTTAAATTTTATGTCTGGTATTCTGTTAATCTTTATATAGCATTTCAGCTCAAAAGCCCCTTTTTTTCTTACTCAAGAACTGGGAGATTAGATAGTCAGCAGCTCACATTCATATTTTGATTAAGGGATGATGCATGCTCTCAAAATTTTAACTTTGATTTCCTTGCTGGTGCTTAACCATGGACATTTAATGCTGTTTAATCTTAGGCGGAGTATATTTAACTTAATTTTCTCAGGGACCAGAATGTTAAAAAGGGGGATCATCATGGGTTAGTGGCCCAAGTGCCAGTGTTGCAAGATCAATAAAACAACACTGCTGTCGGCCCGCTCCCCCCTCTCCCAGTTTAATGGCCCTGCTGTAGGCATTGAACCAGCATTGAACCAGCATTACAAGTCTATGGTTAAGCACTAGCTAGAAAATCAAAATTAAAATGTTGAGAGCAAGCATCTTCCCTGTATCAACATATGGATGTGGGGGACTATCTCCCAGTCCTTAAGAAAGAAAATAGTTATTTTTTCCAATCCGCTATAGCGCCTTATATGACCAAAATATTTCAGCTTCCAAGACAGGATGCTGTTTATTAGCCAATCTTCAGTTCTTTCAAGACGTCAGTATTTCTTCTAGTCTTTGTCCATAATATTCAGAGAATCTTTCTATAGCATTTCAGCTCAAAATTCTATTCTCTTTCTTATTTGGCTTCCAAGATAAGTTTCTTGAGATAGTAATGTCATAGTCTCCCTTTGCTTTTCACATCCACATGGCTTTACTGTCCTCAGCCTTCAACAACTTTTTTTATTGCTAGGTCAAGTGATTGCCCTGCTCTGTGATGCTCTTGCTAACAGCAGAGTGCACCCGAGAGGTGTCCACTTATCCTGGCTGCAGTGTGTTTATCATCCTCTGCCACATGGAGGTGCAGTTGGGGTTTTCCCTTCACTGAGTGTTGAGATCAGAATGGCATTTTCCAAAACACTCCAGTACTTTCAACATCTTAAGATAAACTAATACAAGCATGCTGTACTTTTGTCATGCTGAAATAGTTAAGAGATTCTGCAGGCACCAAAAGGGATTATTTTTACAAAGAGGAAATGTTGTTTACCCTGCAATTTTACTAGATGAATGTTTATGTATCATTTGCATAGGTACCTACTGTAGTGCCAACAAAGGACAACTGTTAGTGGAAAGCATGGAGGCCTCACACCCTTCCATGACAGGCAGAGCATCATTTGCCTTCACATCTGACGACAGTGGAGGATTATGGGTGCTGGGTGGTTTCAAAATGGGAGACAACAATTTAACAAATAACCTCTTCCGGTGAGTACTAGACAAACTTAATTTTTGTTTACAAGTGCCAATCGACCTGGCTGTGTTTTTATGTTATCTTCTTCTTCCTTGCATTTCTTGGCTGTAAACTCCAGTAGAAAGTACTGGTTGTTCGTCTGTTTATGGACTTTGTTCTTGTTACAGAACTTTAGTTTTGCGTGCAGACCCATTTTACAAATCATGGTGTTTTGTATGCAGACTTTTATTTCTTGCTTCTCAGGCAGATGCGCTGCGACTTTAAAGAAAATGCCCCTAATTATTGGACTTTTATGACATGTTTGTTGCGGAGGGGGGTTGTTTTTCCCCCTTAAAAATGGGACCCTGGAGCCTACACAGGAAATGTTTATGTTATAATTGATAAATAAAGGACTCTTTTTTCATGCCAGTAGTGCATTAGGCATGTGATTCTAGATTCATATTTTATAGACTGATCGGCTCTCGGTGGATAATATGGTCAGCATCATGCCAACCACTTTTACTTGTCAGGGCCTTACTGATATCCATTTTAGGCTGGGTTGATCCGGTAGCCAAGGTCAGTTTTGAAGACAAAATTTGCTGTGATGTGGATTCACACCAAAGACCTCCATGCCAGAGGACAAGCATCATGGCTGCTTATTATAATTGGAGTAATAACATATTTTAGAATGTCTAGAACATGTTTGCTTTTATATTCATCTGGGAACTACAGCAGTAGCACACAGGCTAGCACACTAGCCTACCTGCCAAGCGGTCATGTATGTAAATCCACCATGAGGCAAGAATAAAAAAAAAAAATCTTGGCTTTCTGGTTGACTCACTACCAGCTCAGAGAATGCTGGCATCTGATGTGATACAAGGCTATCCTCTTGTACATCACACAATGGAGTTAACAAGTGGCACACACTGTCATTATTTCCCTTCATTAGCTCCATGAAAGTCAAGGGGAAGATAGTTCAAAGAGTTTGGCTATTTGGAATGGTGTGTTCAGTTCTTTGCTTTGTCATATTTTATTTCTCTAGTTCAGTGGAGTTAGTGGAGACTGTCTGACAAGTCAAAAAGATGATGGCCATAGCAATACAAACATTAAACAGCATTAAAAGTCTATGGTTAAGCACAAGCAAGGAAATCAAAATTAAATTTGGTTAAAAGTATCTTCCCTGTAGCCTGTGAGAGATGGACTATCTCCCAGTCCTTTAAAAAAAAAAAAAAACAATAAGGCTTTTGAGCTGAAATGCTATAGAAACATTCTCAGAATACCATGAACAGAGAAGACAAGAAATACTGACATTTTAAAAGTTCTGAACATCACGGAAGATCTGCTAATAAACAGCATTTTGTCTCAGAAGCTTAAATATTTTGGTTATACAAAATACTTTGGCGGATTGGAAAAAATAATAGCAGAAGGCATTGTGCCAGGAAGGAAGGGCAAGGGCCGGCCAACATGAAGATGACCACAAAAAATGACCCCTTGAATATGAAAGAAACAAGGCGGTAGAGCTAAAGAGAGACTGAGTTTCTTTCAGGCAGACTACGATGACAGCGATATTCTGCAAAGGACTTCTACATGATGATGAGCTCAGTGGTCTCCAACCATTTTTTCAGGTCGCGCCCCCTTTCCCATTGAGTATGAATCAGATTGCCCAGCTCCCCATCACCCAGGCCAACATAATAAAACGTGATTACAAAAGTGGAGGAATGTGTTCTTAATCTATTAATACCCCTTTGTTGGGGTTCCTATGTTCCATTGTGGGGGAAACAAGAATCGACCCACTGCCTGCCCAAAAGCATGTCGTGAGAGTCGACTAATTGGGAGCTTCCTTCAAATTTGGAGTACATCTGCCTGAGAGGCAAGGAACCGACAATCTGCATGCAAATGACTGTGAAACAGATGTACACTCAACACCCAGTTTCTGGAGTGGACGAACAACAAGATCTTTCCGCTGTATTTTACAACCAGTGAATGGGAAGAAGAAGAAAAAGAATCTATTAATAAATACACATGTTATCATATTAATTTATTTTTTAATGGAAAATGTACCATTTGCTAATGAAAACAAAAGCATCCTTGTTTAAATTTATTTATAATTAAACTGAGAAAAAAATGTTAGTATAATAGATTATAACAAAAACAACTGTACTCATTTTTAAAATTGTTTTACACCTCTCTTTTTAACTTCATCCAACCTCTTCCCCAGATCATTGTATCCACAATGGTGAAATACCTCTGTAGTTAAAGTGTCCCACTTTCAGAATCTCTGAAAGTGTAAGTAATGAATGCACAAATATTTAAAGTAATGAATGCACAAATATTTTAAGTAATGAATGCACAAATATTTTGGTTTTCAGGTATAGCATAAACTCAAAAAATTGGATTGCATTTGCAGAGCCAGGACCTATTCCATGGCCACGCTACGGACACACTGCAGTCTTTCATAAGGTACTTTATATGACATTACAGTTACGAATGTAACATATATAACATGACAAACATAAAAGTTAGTGGTGTATTCTTTACAGGACATTGCAGAATCACTCCAGCATGTTTTTAAGTTTTTGGCTATATGTGATTTTAGTAGGTGGCTGATGGTTAACGTTCCTTACCATTGTCAAAATCAGCGCAAAATCGTCTAAAAAAAACCATTTAAAAAAAAATACTTGATCCTACTTGATAAATTCATATCTTCTTCTTTTCACCGTGAAGACCAGCGGACAGTTATTGTTCATTAGCTTCTGCACTTTAGACTTGTTCCGGAACATGTTTTACATGCACATCCGTTTTTTAGAGCTGGCTTATTTCTGTGTAGACTGTTGATTCCTTGCCTCTCGGGCAGATGTACTCTCACTTTGAAGGAAACCCTTGTTATAATAAGTTAACTCTTACGATAGGCTTGTTAGGGAAGCAGTGGGTCTGTACTGTTTTCCCTCCCAGTGGGGCCCTAAAACCCACAAGGGGACAACATTTTTAAAAATATAAATTATTTCTCATCCTTACCAAAAAAAAAAAATCACCCCAAAACTATTTACACCTGCTGCATAACTTTTCCCGTTTTTCAGGGAGCCCTTTATTTATATGGAGGTGTGAAAGGAACCATGATCATGAAAGATTTATGGATGTATAACATTACATCTGGAACATGGAGTACACTTGCCAGTTGTCCACGCAGCATCTTTGGCCATACCAGTCATGTAGTAAATGACAAAGTCTTGGTCATATTTGGCTACAGTCCAGACTATGGGTACTCTAATGAGGTTTTCGAATACAGTATTGGTGAGTTTTGAGTGGTGTTTTATTTGTAAAGAGAATTTTGTACTTCTTCTCTATCTCGTCCTCTTCTGCCACTGGTCCTCATTCTCATCTGTTTTCCTATCCTTCCTCTTTTCTTTCTTTTGCTTTGGTGTGGCTGCTGATTTAGAGGAATAAGCATGCCTGAAAAAACCCAAAAAACATTGATCTTGATAATATAACATTTCCTCCTTTCTCTTCATCTTCTTCTTCTGCAGCTGCTGATCCTACTACTCCTACTTCCCTCCTTTAGCTCCTACTTCCCTCCTTTAGCTCCTACTTCACCTCTTTCACTTGCTTCTATTGCTCTTCATAATCCAAGCAGTATCATAAGTATATTTGAAGAAACAAGAAAACATATACCGCTGTATACATGGAAGACCTGTGCTAACTGAAAATCATCTAAACTTGCTTCCTGATTGGTCAGCTCTCCATACCAATGCCAAAATCATGTAAAGCAGTCCTCTGCCTGCAGCTGAATCAAACTGGTTAACTCAGAATTACAAATTATGTTCACAGTCCACAAATGTTGACTCTTGTTTAAACAGCTGTAATAACATTTTAACCTAATTTGTAGCGACGAATGCATGGAGTGTTGCAAAGCATGTGGGGAGCCTAGTTCAGGGCACTTATGGGCACACCAGTGTGTTTGACACTGACCGACAGAAGATCTATGTGTACGGTGGCTACCAGAGTTCTAGTACCTATCAGCACACAGATCAGTTGTACCAGTATGACCCTTACACCAACGAATGGTGAGTTTTTGTTAAGTCTTTACAGTGTCTCATGTTATAAATGATGATGCATTCACATTTTTATGGGTTATTCCTTTTTTTTCCAAACAGATTTGTTTATGATTACTCATTCAACAATTTCAGTATATAAACCCATTTAGGTCTCCGAACTAAGTACATTCAATAGTTTATAGCTTTCAGTTAATAAATGACTTTTTTCAAGTATATTTATTAGGGCTGTACCGAAAATTCGTTTCGTATGCGCTTCGGGGCCGAATAGTGGACCTATTGACTATTCGGTATTCGGCCGATTAGTTGCGGTCGGGCCGAATACGAATAGTAGTTACCTTACTCCTGCTTCTGTATACACGGCCTTAATGCTGGCAACATGGAACGATTGGTTTTGTTGAAAGCTAATGCAACTTTCCTGCATTAACTAAACTGTCAGTGACAATTTCCAAGTTTAGTTACTTGTTATAATACTTAGGATTATTTCATTCCTAGTTATTAGTTACCACAGACTGACTGAAGGATGCAAAACATTAAATATTTTTAAATGTTAACTATTCTGTACAAATACTAACTAGACATGGAAAGAATATAATAAACTTCGGCCACATTCAAGTCGATAATATGGTAATCAAACGAACGGCAACATATAAGTACTTGGGTGCAAACTTCAACTGCTCCAACATGCTGAGAAAAGAAATACAATCTAGAATACAATCTAGAAATAAAGTATACAATGCCCTTCAAAATTTGCTAAAGTTAAACTGTCTGTCTCCCAACACCAAGATCAAAATATATAAAACGTTGATAAGAACAGTTGTTTTATATGGCTCTGAAACTTGAAGCCCAAATGAAAGAGATAAGCCTTAATACAGGTTTTCGAAAACGTTCTTACGACAAATCTTTGGACTCAACAAAGATGCTAACAGCGGGGAATGGAGAGTGAGAAGCAACAACGTAACACTTAATCTGTTTAAATCACCATTCATCACTGGCATCATGAGCTAACAGACTAAAATGGTTGGGGCACATTAAAAGTATGTCAGATCACAGAGAAGTAAAAACTGTATACACCTGAAAGAGGAATGTGCGTAGACCACGAGGCAGACAAAAAAAGAAATTCGAGAGATAATGTCCAGCCAGATTTGCAAACAACTGGTGTCACAAAATGTGAAGATAAGGCCAGCCAGAGAAATGAATGGAGACGAGTGATATCTGCAGCAGTAAACCTCAAGGCCTCAGAATGCTACAGAAGATGGCTATTCTGTGAAGTAAAAGTTCAGCGTACATTTGACATTATGAATGTGTGGGTTTTTTTAAAAGATATATTTTATACAAATACGAAAGAAACGAATTTTTCCTAAGTGTGTAATAAAAGTTGATGGTGTTATTTTAGGACAAGTACAGAAATTTAAGTATCTGGCACATGGATAACATCAGATGGAAGATGCATAACTGAGATAAGAAATAGAATAGGACACTCAAAAACTGCATTTTATAAAATGAAGAATATCTTGTGCAATATATCCTTGTCATTGAGAGTTAGAAAAAGAATTCTTGCTTGCTACATACATCCAGTTTTAACATATGGCTGTGAATCCTGGACAATCGGTAGGCAGGCCAAACATCGGAGATGTGGTTTTACAGAAGAATGCTTAGAATACCTTGGACAGCCAAAAAGAGCAACCAAGAGGTTTTAAAAGAGGTGGGAGCCCGAAGACAACTTATCACAGACATCAGAAGGAGACAGTCATCATTTTTCGGCCATGTTATGAGAAGAGGGAAAATAGAACATGTTGTGACTACTGGAAAGATATGTGGAAGGAGAGATAGAGGAAGACAACAAGAGAAGATGCTTGACAGTCTTGTTGCATGGCATGAAGGTGTGTCGGCACACAAACTGATACATGCTGCAGGAGATTGCAGATTATGGAGAGGCATGATCGCCCACGTCAGTCGGCAAGGCACCTGATGATGATGATGATGATACACTATTCGTATTCATATTCGGCCGAATAGTTGGTACTGTTATTCGTATTCGGCCAAATAGTGAAAATCACTATTCGGTACAGCCCTAATATTTATCAACTCTTTTTGTATTGGTCAGTTTAGCATCTGAGATTGAGCTGAAAGAGATTATACTTTATTTGACCAGTTTTTAAAAAAAAAGCAAGGACCAGTTTTACACCAGTGCTAGACTCATACATGTCTTATTTAGACCTAGTGGTATGCGATGAGTGATGTGGTAAACATCCTGCCGGCCACCTTTACTTCTCAGGACATTATCTAGAACCTTTTTATCCTTGAAAGCCATGATCATTTTGAATTCTAAAAAAAAATTGACTTGATGTGGATTTGAACTAAGACCTTCGAGCCAGTAGACAAGTGTCTATCTCGTATGCTACTCCAGCTACACAGTTTCACATGTTCAGCTCATGAACCCTTCCCAGGGAACCACAGACCCAGCACTTGTAGGGTCCAGTCCTACGTAAATGCCACTTAACCTGCATTTCTGCATTTCATATTTACAAAATGTTTATTTAGGGCCAATGGTTTTTTGTTTCTGTTTTTTGCACCTGTGCGTTGTTCAGGTAGTCAGGATATTTTTAAAAAAAGTTATTAGTTTAGGGAGATATTCATGTAAATAAAATGGCTATTTTAAAGCTATTGGGACTTCACAATTCTCCAGTTAGTATTAGTGTTAAAAATTCAGATGGACACGTTGTCATAGTATGAGTCACCAAAAACATTTATTTTAAGGTTGAGTGGAATAAAATGCAGTTAATTTGTCACTGTGTTTATGTTTATTGATTACCCTTCTTCTTATTTTTAGGTAAGAAAGTTTAATTTAATATTAAATTAATTTTAAAAAATATATTTAGTGGCCCATGTCAAATTGTTATTTATTGGGTTAGGAATTCTTGGGTTCATGACACTTTTTTTCATGTTTCCAAGGAAAGGGTTTAAACAGACTATAGGCAACTTCAGTTAATATTTATTGCATACATCTGACACATTAAAGTGAACTTTAAATGTTAAGATCTTCTTCTTCTTCTTTTCTCTACTCCTGGAATGCCTCGTAGCATAAGGGTAGGAAGAGATCTCTGGAACAGGCCCTTCTGTTCACTTCGTATAAAGTACCTTTTAGTGTCTATGATATTTTTGCGGTCAATATTCTGCTTGGTCGACTTCTGGTTCTGTTACCACTGTATCTGCATAGCATTGCTCTCTATGGTACCCTGTCTGATGCCAGTCTTGTTACATTGCCAAACCATTGGATTTGTTGTCTACCTGTAAAGTTCAATATTGGTTATGTGCAGACTCTTCTCCTGATATCATTGATCCTAAGTCGATCTTTTATCGTTACACCTAGCATAGTACGTAAACATTTCATTTCTGTCAAGACTATTTCCCTTCTGTTAAGATTAGTACAGTAAAACCTAGTTAACATGAACATACTTAAGACAAACACTTATTTGACATGAAGACAATTTTGGTCCCAGCAGGAATATGTTATTCATAAAACATATATTAACCCCAACTAGCAGAAATTGTTTTAACACAAACTCTTGTTTTTTGTTTTGTAGGGTCCCTTGGAATTTGTGTTATCAAGGTTTTACTGAATACCGCTGCAACACATAATTTCGTTAGTAGTTAAATGTCAGAAAGAAAAATAACTTCACAGTTAAACATTTTGTCATGCCTGGTCTTACATTTTGGGCTAGAAGTCTTGGACTTTAGACTTTTTCCAGAACATGAATCTGTTTTACAGATGGACTTATATGTTTGCAGACTGTTGGTTCCTTTCCTCTCTGGCAGATTGTCTATGATGGGAGCAGCCCTAATTATTTGGCTTTTGTAACATGCTCATTAGTGTAGTCTTGTTTTTTTTCCCCTACGATTGTGCCTTATAATACACATGGAGGACCCATTGTAGTGAAGTTGAATATCTTTAAATCTGTTTTGCCCTCGTCCTAATGTGCCCAAAAGAGGTATTTTTCTCATTTGATTTGACAGTGAGTTCTCTTTGTGAGTTAATCTATTTTAAGACATTTTCCTTACATTCTTTTAAATGTATCCATCTTCACAACAAACAGTACCATAATTTCTTCTTGTTCCCAGGTACATTTTGCAAGGTAGTGGCAGTGCCCAGTACTTGCACTCGGCAGCAATGATGAATGGACTGATGCTTGTCTTCGGGGGAAACACACACAATGACACACAGATTAGTAAACAGTGCTTTGCCTCAGATTTCATGATTTATGATAGAAGTACGTTCATAAGTTACTGTATATGATTGATTTATGTTAATTCTATGTTCATGTATTACTATCCATCCTTACCCATATAGGACTGTAGGTTACACCTTGTTGGTGTAGCCGTTGCGGGTGTCCTAACTATAACTTCTATCAAGATTGAACAGGGTACCTGGGATCAACCTTGTTGGCTCATGATGGTATGGTAAACCTTTAGGAGACAAACTGATTGATTAATCATGTATAACTTATGTGTATGATTGATTTTAAATAGTCATTAGTTAGTTAGTCGAGGCTCCGACATCACTGCATATGGGCCGCCCCATAACTGGCCGCCACTGGAAATCACATAAATTATCCCTCATATATATATATGGACATATATAGTTGTGAGAGAATGATAGAGCTAGGAGTGATTATGGAATCTGGCCAACAGTCTACACTTAGAGGAAAGGCAAGATTTATATATAAACAAACTGCTACTTGTTCCATCAGAATTTCTTCTTCTTCTTCTTCACTTTCACCGGCTGTAAGCTCTGGTAAAAAAGTTTTGGTTATCCGTCCACTTCTGTACTCTAGTCCTGTTCCAGAACCTGAATGTTGCGTGCACGTCCATTTCACAGGTCTGACTCATTTGTATGCAGACTGTTGGTTTCTTGCCTCTCAGGCTGATGTACTCTGACTTCGAAGGAAGCTCCCAATTAGTCGACTCTTACGACATACTTTTGAGCAGGCAGTGGGTCTGTTCTTTCCCCAAAACTAGGCCCTGGAACCCACACGGGGACATCAGAGTTTGAACCCTTTTATGGGAAATTACTGAGTGCTGTGATGTCCATACTTAGCTAGCTCAAGACAACTCAGTATTGTTATTTACAAATGCTGTTTTACATCAATCTAACACAGACTGTGCTTGATATATCTCTGCAGGTTGTGACAGGTGGTCTTCAGTAAGCTCATCATACCTGGACTACACAAACGAGAACCTGGACCGCTTCGGTCACATGGCAGTCTCCGTCAATAAGTAGGTCCCTCTGTATTCATTTTGCAATTAAACAAAAATCTAAGAGATAATTTGCATATTTTTACTCTTTCTTTTTTTGCTGAAAAATATTGATTCCAGCAGTAGTTCATACGTAATTCTGATTTCATCGTCATTTTGAGTTTATCCCATTCAATGTAAATCATTTTTCGCAAGCATTTATTTTTTTAGATGCATTTAACTTTTGTTCTGTACATTCTGTAGTTACTTATTAATCTGTAAATAAGTTAAGTGTCTGGGGAAATATTTAAAAGAGATGCTTGCAAGTATAAGAGAACAATGAAAAATAACTAAAAAGTATATTTGTGAGGGCTGAAATATGTGAGGCATGTTTTTTAAGTAAGTCCTGATAATAAACTTTACAAAAAAAGCATCATATATATATATAAAAATGATTTATTGTAGTCAAAGCCGGCGTAATGCTGACCACATTACCCACCGAGTGCTGATGGTCTGTAAAAATATGGGCGCTCTTCCCATATGCCCGATACGCCTAAAGGCGTGAAAGGGATCTTTACTTTTTTCTTTACTTATTGTAGTCAAAAGTGAACCATACATTTACATTATTTCTCAACATAGCCACCATTGACTTCAACACATTTTTATTATCGTGACACCAGGCTCTTAATTCCAATTTCATATAAGTCTGCCGCCAGTGTCTTGAACCATTCATTAACGCCTGTCTGCAGTTCTATATCAGTTTCAAACCACTGGGATGCCAGCCACTTCTTAGGTGCATGGAAAGGTGGTGTTTGCTTGGCGCTAGATCAAGGCTGTAGGCGGGGTGGTTAACAATTTCCCAGTGAAATTTTTTAACAGTTCTATCTGCGATGTGAGGTTGAGCATTATTGTGCAAAAGCACAATTCCAGAGGACAGCAACCCACATCTTTTGTTTTCATGGCACACAGTTTTTTTAAATCCAAGGTTTCTTGTCACAATGACGTAAATCAGTGAACGTGAAACTTCCAAAAATTTGACAGACAATGCAGAAATTGTGAAACGATAATTTTCCTGAAATTTTTGGTTCACCTCTTCAACCATATCATCTGTGACAACACTCGGGCGACCACTACGATCTTCATCCTGGATATTTGTTTGCCCTTCTTTAAACATTCAACACCTTTTCCAAACCATACTATCAGTCATTACATTTGGCCCATAAACCTCAATAAGTTGCCTGTGAATTTCTGCAGCACTGTTATTTCTTGCTAACAAAAAAATGGATACAGCACGAATCTCGCAGTTGGCGGGAGTATTTATTTTTGCCTTCATTATACATCACTCACCCATAGCATCAAGCAAGATTTTGACAGTGAAAAAATAGCACACAGATAGCTAATGAACCACATACACATACTGCATATGCACATTTACATTTTTCATCAGTGTTTGTCACTGTAGTCAGAACAGGAATTAATTAAAAACGTGCCTCGTATTTATTTTATAACAGTGTGAAGTACAAAGTAAAAGAGACTTTTAACACCAGTGGCGCATCATATTTTTATAGACCATTCGGCTGTGGATGGGTGATGTGGTCATCATCACGCTGACTGTTTTTACCTGCAAGGACTCTAGGTTCCAGAGCCACTCAGTAGGGGGAAAAAAAGAATAGACCCACTATCCCTCTAAAAAAAAAGCATTGCATAAAAGTCGGAATACATCTGCCTGAAAGAGGAGGAACCAACAGTCTGCTTATAAATAAGTCAGATCTTTAAAACGAATTTGCACGTAAAAATTCAAGTTCTGGAACAAGACTAAAGTCTGGAAGTGGACGAAGAACCAGAACTTTCCTCCAGAGTTTACAGACGGTGAACTCAAAGAAGAAGAGGACTTTCCAGGACATTGTCTGTTACCCATTTTAAAATTGGTTGACGTTGGAGCCAAGGTCAGTTTTGAAAAAAATCTGCCTCAGTGAGGCTCCAAACTGCATTACCTTTAGGCCAGCAGGCGAGCTTTGAGCCACTGTGCTGTTGTGGCTTCCTTATATAATAATGATTATTTACAGAGGAATGGCTGGCCGACTGGGTAAGAACACTGGGCTACCATGCGGGAGAGCCAGGTTTGAATCCTTAGTAAGGTTGTGGATTTTTTCTGTCAGGGGGCAGAAATAAAATCCCACCATTGCACAGTCCATGGTGACAGCACTAGCCATGCTGACCCAAATCCTCAGATTCAAAGACCCAGACTTCCTTTACCTCAGAAGTAGTGAGTTAAGTAATTAATGACAGTTTTTGGTAGACTATCAAGTCTTTCATCTCTGTATTGCAGCACTGTGTACATATTTGGTGGATTTAACTCTTTTCTAAAGACTGACCTCCTCATCATCAGAGAAGGTAACAAAACATGGGTTTTTATTGTTTAAATTGTGTTAATGTTAAAACTACATCCAGATTTGTGCAAATTATAAACACAGTCCTATCAGTTTCTGGCCAGACAAGTCAGTGCCTGTGTTGCAGTCAGTGTAGGGGACATAATAACCAACTTCTTATGGGACCAGACAGTAGTGGTACTTTGGTTCCCAGCCATGTTTTACTTGAGGAATGAGCATGCTTGGGAATGCTCAATGTTTAACAATGTTGACTGTGATAAAATAACACATCTGTTTGAGTATTATCATAAGTATAATTTGAGAAATGCCAGAAATAATATATGTTCACTTATGCAGTAAATGTCTTCCTTTTTCACTTTTGATGGTAAGTAAACAGGAAGGTAAAGGAATATATGAGTATGCTCAGGAAGATAGGGAAGGGCTGGATCTAAAAACAGTTGTTGTAGTCTCTAAAACGGTCGAGGCTGACATATCAGTTTCATATTTGTGCCAGGGTCCGCAGATGTGCAAGGAAACTAGCAAGCTGATTGGCTTGCATGTAAAGCTTGATAGGCAAGGAACCAATTGATGTGCTGCAGAACTCAAGTTCTGAAACAAGACCAAAGTCCATAAGGAGATGAACATCTATAACTTTCCATCAGAGTTTACAGCCAGTGAATGCTAAGAAGAAGAAGAAGAAGAAGAAGAGCTGCACTGTAAAATAGAGATAGGTGAAGCAAACTGTTCTTCTGCTCTTGCCCTGGTGCATTACTGTGAGCCAAGGACAATTTTGAAAGAAAAAATCCACTTCATTGTGGGATTGAACCCTAGACTTTCGGGCCAGCAGGTGAGCATCTAGCCACTATATTGCCATGGCTCCTAATAGATGCATGATTGATATAATCAGGGTTCGTAGTGGACCGGGAAATCGGGAAATTACCGGGATTTTTTTCGTTGACCTTGAACCGGGATTTTTAGCTTATAAAAG